AGTTTGTTAGATAATAAACAATACAATAAGCAGTTATTTATGAAAAATCTCCTTATAGTTTGAAACATTTTCTTCATTCCAACAAAAGTTTGGCTTATCCAACATTTTGTTGAAACAGAAGATGGATTGTAAATGCCTACAAACAATCAAAACAGTTTCATATTACTGTATATAATTAATAAATTTTACTCACAAGTCAGAATAATCATTAAACCCTTTATAATTTTAAAAAATTCAATACCTACATCTAACAGCCTATAAGATAGTCTGGTTTACACTAACTGATCTAACTAATATGTAGAAAAATTATGAAAATTTTGTTAAAAACTGAAAAATTCAGTTAGTATAATTTAAAATTTTACTACAGAGACCAAACTGCACATAATATGACATGACTAATGCTGAAAGCATTTGGTGTTTATGCTATTATAATATATGATTACAAGAAAAGGAATTGTTCGCTTGTATAAAAATAATCACAGAATCAATATAACCTTTAGCTAGGTTTAAAATAAACACCCACTAATTAGTAGAAAGTTTAAATTAAATACATATTTATGCAACAGCCTATCTATCAAATGTTGAACAGGTGTATAAATCTTTAAATTTATTATTCATCATGAAAATAATGATCTGAAGTTTATTTTTAACTTATCAGCAAATTAAAAAAAATATATTACATAATTTAATAATCATTTTTAACTACTCTTATAAATAAATTAAAATCAAAAGGAAATTCTACAAATTCATTTGTCTGTAGCATACTTACTTTTTTAAAATTTGGTATTATCCCCATGGAAATAATTAGAAAATCATATGCTACCTACAATAAAAATATTATGACTCAAAACATACACATAATAAATGTTCAATATAATATTTATAATCAATTTAATTCATGGAAATAAAGCATTTAATATCATATTACAATAAAAAAAAGTGATCTAAACATGATCATGACAGTTTTAAATTTATGTTTTTGTAATAATCTTAACATTCTATAAAGAGAAAAATAAAACAGCAAAATGCAGAGTCATAACTACAAGGTGGCCAAGCCCTCTTCAGCTTAGTTGGCTGCATCCAAATACATTATATACAGGGGTACCTCAGGATACGAAATTAATCCGTTCCGAAACTGAGATCGTATCATGAAAATGTCGTAAGGTGGATCATCTTTTCCCATACGATTACATGTAAAACCAAATAATTCGTTCCAACGCGAAAAACATACTCAAATTAAAGCCAAGTAATACATTAAAAAAAATAACTGTAGTAAGAAAAACAAATGAAAAATGCGAACTAATGTAACGTCGTATGGTGAGTTTTTGTTCGTATCGTGGAGCAAAAATATGTTCGAATTTCATGTCGTATCCTGAAAATTTCGTATGCTGGGGCGTTCGTAACCTGAGGTACCACTGTATGTGTTTTCACTTTTATCACTTAGACTTCTGGCTACTGTTAGTTTTTTTACACCTAGATTGTAGCTAATAGGCATATGCTGGCTGGAAAAGAAAAATTACTAGTCACAATTTTTTTTAGCTTGCCCCTAATAATCCTCTAATGGTTAAGGGACTGGCAAAATGTAAAAAGGAAGAGAATCAATTCAAAAATAAGAAGAAAATTTAATCTAAGCTTTCTAATTTTTGTTTTTTAACTGTTTTTTCTCATATTATTTTAAGAATTTTAATCTTTTGCATAATCTTCCAATTCATATTTGAGTTCATAATTGAAATTAATTTAGAATTATTTGAAGAAAACTATATAAATACATTTAATTTCAACAAATTACATAAACTTTTTGGCTTAATTTAACAAAATTTTAGATTATTACTTAAAAGATATTTAAGAATATATTAAATTTATTAACATTCTAATAATAAAAATTTTACAAGAAAAATAATAATAATAAATAATAATAAATTTTTTAGTTACTTTTCATTATTTATTTGTATTTCAGAAAATTTTGAAATAAAAATAATAATAAGAAAAACAAACAAATACGCTTTATAACAAAAATAGAAGTAAATCAGTTTATAATTTCCGTACCTCATGTTTTTCTGTAAATATTGTGTTTTTGTCAGGCTCAAATTTCACAGCCAAGTCTTTTATCCATTTAACATTTTTTGGAATTACAGAACTCATATCTTTCCTAGACTTTTCTACATTTTTCAAACCACCACCAACTAAGGTCCAGTATGGCTGATAATAATGTACCTAGAAAACAAAATAACAATAATAATAATAAGCCTATATTTCCAATTATTATTTCAAGGAAATTCAAAAAAGTATTTGACTATATTTAGTAATTTTTACAATACAAAACTATGTATTGCATATGACTCTGCTTATTATAACCAGTTTGTGATTTGTCCATGATGATAACAAGTATGAAAAAATAAGACTACAATTAGAAAAATTTCTGGATTTCATTGATTCTAACATTAATACAATATGTTTAAGCAGTTTAAAAATATATAACTTCAAGACTTTAATTATAATTATCATTATAAATTAATAAATAATTATCCAGAATTGTTTGTCTGCTACCATCTTCAACAACACATGAAATGCCAGCAATTTAAAGTATTGTATTGTGAAAAAATAACAATTAAAATGATTAATTCAAAGCATTGATTAAGATCAATAACAATAACTTATAATGATTCATGTTATCAGTTACTTGTTGAGGCTGCTAACATAAACAGAAAGCATAGAAATGTCTACCCATCCAATTATTAAAATCAAAGTTTATTATAATGCATTATAACTTGAATGCTTTAGGGACTTGTTAATTTTGATAATACTGTATTAAATATGATTACAATAAGCAGATTCTATATAAACCTACACTATATATATCACAATCCACAAAGATGAATATAATCTTGAATTTAATGTTATAAAAATTGTAATTCTTGATACCATTCTTTCAAATTTGAGAATAGTTTACATAAAAAATATTGTACAGTACACTTACATCAGAAAATATTCACAGGAGATTCATGCATTTATGTTTTGTACAAATTTTCTACTATAATTGCAAGTAATGTAATATTTAAGCACTTTATATTCTATTGGTTACCTTGACAAGATATTATATAATTCAAAACTTATTGCAGGAATAGAATGAGCCACTCCAGTCTACAAAATAATTGAATATCTTTGGCAGTGCATTCTATAGATAATAATATTCTTGTTCTGTTTTAGTATGCTTAAATTAAAGATAGATTGAAATCCAGATCAAAAAATGTTTCCAATCTACTAAATTTTACATACAGTACTTCTAAAGATTCTGTGTTCATTTATTTACAAAAAAGAGAGTTTTATGGCATTGAGTCTATCATAAATTACAGTTTAATTTAGGGTAGTTTGCTTAATAACAGTTACAGTTTAATTGGTTTCTGGAAAAACCAGATCTGTTGTAAGTTGTAATTTTATAAAATTTTTCATATTTTGAATTAAATATACAAAAAACTTGAAGAATAAAGATCAAAATAATTATAGTTAATTTAAAGGATATCTCCATATGATTTTGCAAATAATTTGTGATTATATGTAAGTTCTAGATAAGATATTACAACAGTATCCAAGCTACAAATGTATAACATTAAATAAATTATTTGAAAACAGGAATACTTTTGCCTTTATTACATATAATCTAACTAAATTCAGTAGAAGCTGGCTTGTTAAGAATTACAGAATATTCTACTCTGTTCTTTAAATTATTAAAAGCAAAAGTACTCTTTTTTACCAGAATTCAAAAGTTATGTAATTTATTTTTATAACTGCTCTAATATCTTATCTATTATTTACATAATTTTCAAAAAGATAAACTGAAAATTAATTATGTGTAGTTATTTGCTATGATACAAAGCACAAAGAGTCAAGATAAATTTATTCTGTAATTAAAAAACTTGTATTTAAATTTGAAAAAAATTGCTAAATCTCCTTATTCTAATCTTTTAGATTAGAATAAAGAGATTTAGTAACTTAATAGTAATTTTAAAATAATATAATTAAAGGTTATTCTTCACAGACACAAAATAACAATACAATAATTGTTCTTTTTAAAAACTATTATGCATTTAAAGCTAATTAATGACAAAATAAATACTTCAAAATTGAAATAATCCACAATTCCTAAAGTGGAATTTTGAATTCTAATTGCAAATTCTTAAAGTTAAAGTTTGAAACCCATTTTCAATACTTAAAAATTAAAATGTTTTCATGCAAAATTAGTTTTATATTTTGCTATGTGGAAAACAATGATTTGAAAAAGTAATTGATATGACAGATATAACCAAATATCAATAAATGTTTTATTAATTGAAGTTTAAATTTGCAAAAAAATAATTTGAAATAATTTTTCGCAGATCTTAATTTTAAATACAGGTAGTAAACATTTCAAGGAGCCCATATTTATTAGCCATCTGGATAAGTAAGGCAGTTAAGGCATCAGCCTACCACTCTGGGAGACCCAGAAGCCCACCAGTGACCAAGCAGTATTCGTTCCCTGAACACTGGGAGTTCGTGGGTTCACACCTTGCTCGGACGAGCTGGCTACGTGGAGTTTCCTGGGTTTTCTCCATGTCTGTAATACCTAAATAGGGGCCAGTTTCCCTTTAAAAGACCTCTCAGAAGGCATCCCCCTAGGCAGATCGCCCAAGTGTTGCACTGCCATAACTAAACAAACAAACTGGGAGACCCAGGATTGAATCTGAGTAGTTGAAAAACTCCAGGAATGTTTGGAATAGTCTGTCCCCAATATATCATGTCTTGTCCCTCATCACCTGGCCAACACATTGTGGGCCTGGTAAAACCAACAATGGGTATCAAAGAAGCCCACTTACAGTTGGAGATAATTACAGTTCCTTTGTGGCCGTGGGTGCAATTTTGTTATAAGGCCCTTTATGTAAATATTTTTTATATTAAAAAGACAACAAAATCCTTAAATAATAAGTTTTTTCTTTATAATATAAACTTCTTAAATGCTCACTAAATTTTTAGATGCATATTATCTTTTTGCTATGTAATTTTTGAGGTTCATAGTCCCAATTGGGTTAAGATTTGCCACTCCCACTTAGTGCCCACAGGGGAGACAGAGTCCAAAATAAAAAAAATAAGTAACCAATATTCAAAAGCACATTATATATCTATTTATAGATAAAATTATAGTTATAGCACTAATTACATTTGATGGTTCAATAATAGCAACTTTGTCTTTTCCTAACTTAGATCCAAATTTTGCAGCAATTGATATTCCACCTGTTCCTCCACCAATTATCAATAAATGATAACTAAATTTTTCATTTTGAATAGCAGAAGTTGAAAAACAATGCTGGAATATTTTAGGCACTTTTAAAAATTCTTTCTTCATAAATGGCTTCATTTCTGAAAAAGTTTATAAATAAATATGTAAAATGATATGAATAAAAAAATAAAAGAAATAGAACATGTTAAATTTCATATACTGTTTATTCATTTAATATTTTTCTATTATTTTGTTCCCAGTACAAAGGGTGAAAAATCTTGTACTAAAGTAAATAAAACATGTAATATGATGTAATATGGAAAACATTCTTCAAACTGAACATCAAAGAAACAATTATTTTTTTTTTCATAAATTTTCTTTTCCTATGAATAATGGAAGTTACATCCCCTGGTTACATCTAACAAAATATGTGGCAGCTATACCTCTTCCTATATAATGTAATTATTGGATTTATTAATGATCCATTTGTTCTCTTTCATTTGTATTAAAAATTCATAATTCAAAATTCATATTTTATAAATTTTCACTTTGACTAAGATATATTTATATTTAATGATGGTATTTGTTTTAGAATTACATTGATAAAAATTTTATAGTTAATTTCAATTGCTAAAATATTAATAGTGATGTGATAAAATATATTTTCTAAATAAAACAGAAGTTGATATAATGGTTCTATTATTTCTAATAGAACTATTATAAAAAATATATATATATAGTTATGTTACAGACAAGCTTTCTTAGAAAAATAATATTTTATTTGTAACAGATTTTACTAAAAATTAACATTCTTAAAGAAAAATCTTACCAAAATCAAATTTAATAGTTTTCATCTACTTTGCAATGTTAAACTGGATTTGGGCAATAGATATTTTCTCCCAACCAAACTAATGCAATTAATGTCAATAACGTTAACTTTCAGCCTAACTGAATTCTTATCACTCTCAAACTTAGTTCCAGGAAATAGTTTTATTGACCATAATTACTTTAATTCAAAAATTAATTTTTCTTTTATCACAAAAATTCTTTCATATTAACTTTTTAAAACAGAAATATTTGATAGAATAATAAAAATATTAAACTAAATTTGAATGATTGAACAGTTCTAGAATTTTGAGATAGTAACTACTGATTCAAAACTTTAATTAAAATAAATAACTACAGAATTCTAATATAAAAATTTTGAAAATATCTTTTTCAAACACCTGTGTTGAAGTAATTGTTTCTAATAATCATAGAAAATATGGAAAATAAATAAATTTTATACTTATCAGCAAATGTTTGGTCTTGTATAAATATGAACTAAATTTTATTAAAAGTTAATTAACATACAATGTAAAGTTAATCAAGCAACAATAGCAAATCAAATATAAATAAAAAGTAAACTAATTGCAGTTAAGTACAGTATTTAAAAATATACTCAGCCATACAATTTATATATAAAATCATCTAACAAAGTTTCAAGCATTTTAAATATTAATGAAACTTTAGTAAAGTCAACTTTGGCCATTTATTTTTATATATTTATGGCCATATGCTACAGCATTTATTAGTTTACGCCCTTCAACAGTAAATACAACAAACTTTTTAACTTAAAATTTAGAGATTACAGAGAATTTACTTACTTACTTTTGAGTAAATCTCAAAAAGGAACGTATCTCTTCCAATGCATTTGATTGACCTTAAGCGTTAAAATAAAGTCACGATTATATCAAAAGTATTAATTTAATGCATAAATTCGACAATTAAAAACATCACGACTTTAGCAATAAATCTAAAATAAATATTAAACACGTGCAACATGCTTTTACCAAAACTTGTAAATTTCACCTCCAACAGGTGGTTACTGTTGACGTTTGTTTCTAACAAATTACGCAATCACTGTCGTCATCAAGTAAACAATCTTTCATTTTATTTGATTAAATTTCTAATGTAAATAATTAAAAATACATATAAAGAATGCATATTATTTCTTTATAGTAATAATAATATTTATGTTAAATCCGTTGAGGCAATATCGGATTATCCACTAAGCACGTGATTACGGCATCAACAAAAATGAGAAATCTTATTGTTTTAATGTGAAACGAGAGCATCAAATATCTCCCGAAAATTTATGTAATTGTAAATAATTTAAATACCTCATTTTAATTAATAATGGCGCAGTGATTATGTGAAAGTAAAACCTTTAGGCTACGTCTGATCACGTGTTATCTTTCAATGAGTATTTGTTAATGCCATGGTTAATATTACTGCTGTCAGCTAGTTGGTGAGTTCGTCTACGTGATAAGTATGTTGCATCTATTACTAACTTGTAAGTTAAAGTCAGCGGGAATGCTGAGTTTAGGAAGGCCCTCCCGCAAAGCAATTACGCAAGTAATATGACACTTTGTTATGTCAGCAAGTGATGCACAGTATACAAAGTACAGTATAGCCAAGAGAAACACAAGGTGCATTCTTAATTAAGAGCAATGGGTAGGCCGAATCTAGAAAAGCTTCGACACGAAGTAATACTCAAGAGGGGTAGAAGAGCGGTCAAGGTAACAGCCTACCGCTCTGGGAAACCCAGGAACAAATCAGGACGGACCAGGAATTTTTCGGGGGTGGTCCGACCGGATATGTCGGCCCCCATCCCTCACCATCTGGCCGCCCCATTGTGGGCCTGGCCGAACCCATAATGAGCCTGTTAAAAGAGGCCTTCTTAATGCTCACAAGGCAAAAAGAGTTTTAAAAATCCTACATGGAAATGGAAAAATAATTAAAAATAAATAAATAAACGCTTTTTATTCACTTAAATACACAAAAAAGTAAAAAATAAATTTTTTCAACTTTCACAGTATTCTTGGTATTATGCAACCAAAACTGAAAGAGTAAAATATTTATTTCTTACTTTTTAATTCATTTAAATGAATAAAAGGCATTTTCTTAAAATTTATTTTATATTTTTGTATTTCCTACCTTTTATATCAAACACTATAGTTATACATAGAACGCTGAAATATCTAGATTCTTCTTTAATAGCATTTAATTGGGAAGTGGGTGAAAAACCAAGTTACAAGATTTTATCTGAACAGCAGACAGTGTAAGTTAATAATAATAATAAAAAGAAACGTATAAAAACTTGAACAATGTGCTTGCATCACTGTTAATTTATCATATTTTTATTTATATTACATAAGAGATATTGCTACTTAACAGGAAAAATATACTAAAATCGATTGCAGTTAGTTACAATACTCAATGTAATACAGTAGTTCTTAGAATTCTTAGAAGTCATCTTGAGAGTTGCGGAGGTCTTTTACTTTTTACTTTTTCTTCCCTATAGGCACTAAGAGGGCCTTTTAATTATACCCATAATGGATTAGGCCAGACCCACAATGAGGCAGCCCTGTGGTGAAAGACTGGTCCCATCATAACTAGGGTAGACCGCTCATGTAAAATAGCTAAGTTGTTCTCTTGGACTCAATCCTGGATCGTCCAGAGCGATAATCTAACGCTTGAATGTTAAAAATATTTATAAGTCTTTAAATTATTGCAAATCGCATTTTAGCAGTGACATAGCGTGCGTGTCAGCCGCCCGGGGCAAAGGAAAATTTCACCGTCTCCTTATTTAGGTATCTCAATTTAAAAGACTAAAATTCAGTTTCGTCACAGAATAAGTAATGAAAAATTCCGTGCTAGTGTTGCCACCTTTTTAAAATCGCTGACCCGGATGGCAGATGAGATTTGTTCGAACAGAAGTTCCTGACGCATGCGTATGTCGTTTTGCAATGAATTGTGTGCAGGTTCTAAATCAGTTACAGTTAGGGACTAGGGAAACTTGGGTAGGAGTAAAGTAAGTAACCTAGATGACTTAGCTGTATTGGATGTTGGAGATGTATATGAGTACGAATGAATCGTAAAAGCAAAAAAGAAAAAATAAATAAATATAAATAAAAAGGTCGACAGGTTGCGGACGGTGAGTCGTTTCCCGGACTGTCCGNCGCGGATCGAAGTCTATATACATGAATACAATTAATTTTGAGCAGTCTTAATAAATGAATTATACATATAGACTTCAGAATATGAGTTTTAAAGTAGCAATAATTCATAGAACAACTAAATAACAAAAAAACTAATGAATGAACGAAAAGTGAAGTTTACGACAGGTTGCGGACGGTGAGTCGTTTCCCGGACTGTTCGAATGGTAACACTCTTCCGTACTCATTTCAATCGGTCCAAATCGTAGGTGAGACGAAAATATCAAATGAAATGGTTCAAATTTATATAAGATATTATTATTATTTATTGTGAAATTTTGCCGCCCCCTAAAAAGTGCCACCCGGGGCGGACCGACCCTGCCAACCCCACTACGCTACGCCACTGCCTTTTAGGCTTTTGGGCAGAGAAAAAAAAGAGGAAATGGATTACAGTACTGAAGTGTTCAGTTTATTACAAGAAATAGTTGTATGTGTCGTAAGTGTTATGATGATAATTGTAAGCCTATGCTTCTTTGAAACTTTACATACTCCATTTCCTGGATACAGTATTTAATTTCATAATCATACGAATCGACTATGAAAATTCACATTAAATAGCTGGAAACCTTCAATCAATGTAATCTCATTTCGTAATAACAATTAGTCACACCCAAGGTTATTTCAAGTTTAATAATAACAACATAATTTTGTAACTGTACTGTACACGTCGCAACGGTATTCTTTAATGACGTGTTATGAAGTGACATGGCGGATAAATGATGGTGAGAGTTCTCTCTTTAGTTTTGAAACTTTTTAAATAATCGATGAAAAAAAGGCATATAAATGTATATTAATCTACGAAATTTAATATGCTTAATTTG